ACCACTACTACCACTACTACTATACTACTACTACTACTACTACTACCACTACTACTACTACTACTACTACTACTACTACTACTACTACCCACCACCACCCACCACCACCACCACCACCGCCACCGCAACCGCCACCGCCACCACCACCACCACGACCACCACTACCACTACGACTACGACTACGACTACTACTACTACTACTACTACTACCACTACTACTACTACTACTACTACTACTACTGCTACTACTACTACTACTACCGGTTTGGTCCAATTACATTGCGTATGGTCTCAAGCAACCTCATGAATGTATCCTGAGCAACCCGGAGTACAGGAGCTGCGTGGCCTCCTTGCCAAGCATGCAGCGCTTCCCACAATCAGATGCTCGCACGTAAGTTTAATTTCGGTTCAGCTTCAGGGCGCATACCGTTTGTGGGACCTGAGGCATTGAGTCTTTAATTCCTCCAGCTTGTCATCATTCCAAACGTGTTCGGGTTCTGGAGATCTGGTTAAATGTCAGTTTACAGGCCAATGCCCGCGCCCGCAATCTCGCTCCCCACGTTTCGAGGAGCTCGACGCCCTTCCTCCGTGTTTTTTTCGGGTTCAGCGTTTGGGCCTTGAACTCTCTGAGAATCTCTGAGAAGTCATGATTGCCAAGAGGACAAAACTTGCACTGGAATCAAGTCTTACGCACCCTGTCTCCATGGACGTTGGACATTAGTGTTTTTGGGTATAGAACCCTGTAAACTGTGAAAATCATATGAAACTCTGAAGCCCTTATCCACAGATTGCTCTGAATCCGCGTGGGACGGTCAAAGATGCAAAGTTGATCGCAATGTGCATGGAAGCTTTAAACGCTGCGCATAATCGCCGCACTGAATTGCTATCAATCGCTCTTCAACCGCAAGACTCGAAACCTCGAATCCCATACTGCACACTGCACACTCGAAACCCCAACATGGTACTTAAGGTGTTCTTGTTCATAGGGTTTACCCATGGGCCCCATAGTAGTTCTTCCTTTTCGGGACTACCTTATAGGATTCTACACATGAACCCCCCAAAAAGGAACTTCTATGAGGCCTATGGGTCCCTAAGCCCTAAACCTACCCTAAACCCTTAACCCTATAACCCTATAACCCTATAACCCTATAACCCTAAACCGTTAGGGTTTAGGGTTTAGGGTTTAGGGTTTAGGGTTTAAACCTATGGGTTTCAGGCAGAAGCTTTCGGGTGCTTCGGGATTTGGAGCTTGGCTTCCAAGGTTCGGGATGGGTCACCTGGCCTTGCCCGGGGCTGGGCGAGGACACCGCAACAAAGGGGCGCACTTTGCACTTTGGGGGGTTGGGCTTTCGGGTTTCAGGAGTTTGGGATTCGGGACGTTCGGGCTTACCTGAGTTTGCAGATTTTAGGGGTGGCGTGTTTTGGGGTTAGCTATTCTTGCTTCAGGTTTCGACGAGGGATATCCATTGCATTAAATAGGTGGTAGGTTGCCAAACTTCATGAAATTGTGTCGTACATCAGCACATAGCGCAGCCTACTTGAACCGAAAACGGGTGGTTTAGGGTTGAGGTCTTTGTGGTGACGACGAGATCTGCTTTCTGGACAGTAGCTTACAGTCTTCGAGGGAGGGCGCAGGGGCAACTATTAGCTTTGAGGCTTCGAGTCATGCCGAGTCCATAGTTTTCGGCTTAGGGGTTTGGGGATTTAGGGTTTTAGTGCTCATTGGCCCTGTAATAAGCGTTATATAAACCCTGAGAGAGAGAGAGAGAGAGAGACAGAGAGAGAGAGAGAGAGAGAAAAAGAGAGGGTTTAGGGGATCTGGAGCTTTGTTAGGCTCCCTGAGTGCCACGCTGGAATCAAAAGCGTTTCGAGAGCAGGCCCTGTGTCACCACCCCCCACCCCAGAGACCCTAAAACCTGAACCCTAAACCCCGAAAGCCTCAACCCTAAATCGTGGGGTTTGGTGGTTAGAATGTCGGGCTCTGGGTTGCAGCAGGTTCAGGGATTCACAGATGTAGCACACAGTGCGCTTGGGATTACTATACTGCTACTCATAAACTGTGTCTCTCTGTCTTTTCCGTACCGTAGTTGCTATAGAATGTTGCCGTTTCGCGTGCTATTGGGTTGTGGTTCGGGTATGTTCGGGTTGTTGACATCGTGACGATGCTGCTGCCGTTGCGGTTGGGACTTTGCAAAAATAGTCCCTCTTATGAGTCTTTCTACCGCTAGACAGTTGAAGTTTTACATTCTGTGCTGTAGAATGTGCCGGAGGCGACTTTCAGTGTTTCATCTCTTGTTCTACGGAGTTTGAGCGTTTGTTTGTTACAGGAATCCGAAAAACGAGTACCCACTCATTCAGGTTTAGGACCTTTACCCTAAACCCTTAAACCCGAAACTCTCAACCCTTTGTAAACCGGCTCGACTCGAGGTCACTGAGGATGGCTGTCTTCAGTTCCAAGGTTTGGCCCCGTCCTCCTTGAACGGTTCATGTGGCGTTGTACGATGACTTAATGTAAATAGATTCCTGCATCAAAGGCCCGCCAAATCATACAGCTCATCGGGCTAGGCCGGCTAGGCACAATTTCTCGGGATAGGTCTCAAAGATGGGGCCAGGAGCCGCAAGATGTCGGAGTGGAGGTCTTTCTGCCGTCTCAGCGGGGAGGAGAGTGGGCAATTCCAGAATCCAAGCACTGATGCGCACACACATACACATAGGCTCACAAGCAGACGCGCTTTCGATTGCATGTATGCCTGTGTGTACTTAGAAGAAGTTCATGTAGCATATATCTGTGCAAGTATGAATGGGTAGGTGAGTGTGGCTGTCGGTGTATGTGTGGGTGCAGGTGCGAGTTCGGAGATGGGTGCCGGTGTGAATTTGGGCATGGTGCGTGTGGGTGTGGGTGTAGGTGTACATTACCTATATGTGTAAGTAAACATGTGCGTGTGCAAATTGCGTGCCGGTCGTGTGTTTATGCAAACATAGATGTACATATACATATGTGTATGTGTGCAGATGTGTATGTGCATGTAATGTATGTAATGTCTGTTCTGCATGTTATATGTGTGATGTGTGTTGGGTACGTAAGATGTGTAAGGTATAATGTACGTAAAGAAAGTAATGCATGCTTGCGCGTCCCGAAGTATATGTACATGTATATGTGCTTGTGTATGAAGATGCACATGCATTTATGTCTTTATGCATGCATGCATGTATATAGCTACGTAGGCAAACGTAACGTACTGTAGAGGCATGAAGTGCATATTACACTGAAGTATGTACGTATGTACACCTGTATGTCGGTCTGGAGGAGCGGATGGATGGATGGATGGATGCATGCATGGATGGATGGATGGATGGAGACATCGATGCATATGTCTGTATGCATTATGTACTTACGTCTGCATGAGTGTATGTAAGTGTGTGTGTGTGTGTGTGATTGTGCCATTCGTGCATGTATGCTTGTATGTATGCAGCTATGTAGGTATTTGTGTATGTGTGCATGTCAGTATCTGTATGTTCTGGTGTTTTTGGATGCGTAGTACGTATCTATGTATGCACGAGTGTATGTATGTATGTACATATGTTTGTAGGCATGTAGTCATGTATTTTGTCGGTAGATATGTAGGATATACATATCTACATATACATATACATATGCCTGCATGGATGTATGTATGTACGTAGATTAAGTCGGCAAGTATGTAGGAAGATATATGTGTCTCTATTCATGGGGCGTTTGTAATCAACGTAGGCATACATGCCTGGATGAATTGTATGAATGTATGTATGCATGCATGTATGTATGTATGTAATGTAATGTAATGTAATGTAATGTAATGTAATGTAATGTAATGTAATGTAATGTAATGTAATGTAATGTAATGTAATGTATGTATGTATGTATGTGTGTATATGTATGTA